ATTTGCGATCTACCATTACATTCTAGTTTCACTCCTGAGTGACAACCCATCCCTGGAATGTACAGAAGTAGGCTACAGAAGATAAGGCTATTGTTCAGTTCATTCATCTGTGACACAACCCACTGGTATGATGGGTATGACAGCTGGAGTGACTGACCAGAGACATGTGTGAATCCACCCATGTACGCATGCATGAACACACACAGATTTCTCACTGGGACGGTGAGGCCTTTGAAGCGTAATGGCCCAGGCCCCGCCCATTTGACGCAATTACCTCAGCCTTAAAACAACATTTGACTTGACTGGGCTTTGCCTCAACTGGGGCTTGAAACTTACTCAAAAGACTTAAAAATAACTCAAGTATGTTTCCAAAAAAATAAAATAAAATAAAAAATACAGTGAACTAATCAATAGCTTTATGCATTTATAATACTGACTCAACTAGCTCAGCCTTCTGATGATATCTGACTGCACTTCTTTGCTTCCTCCCTTCAAACTGGTACCACCCTTCATTAGGAACCACTTTTCAAGTTAAACAAGTCTCTGCTCTGTTCTGCTAGAAAGTGATGAATAGTAATTAAAGCCTCATAAATCTGGGGACACAAAAATGACTCAGCCAACATACTGTGAACAACCACGCCAAACAGGAGACTTGTTTCATTGGGAGGCAAGTGATTACACTTCTCACACAGGAATTGCCACTGTTCTGAATTCCTTTAACTTCCTTTGAGTAATAGCTTTCAGGAATGTAATCAGTCAAAGGTAGCTTATAAACAGTCATGTCTTGACAGAAATATACAATTACTTATCATCACATTTCTCTCACCTTTTACGCTTGGCACAAAGAGCGAGGATAGTAATGCTGACGATGAGGAAGATGATGAGGGAGATGATTCCGACCTCTGCCGATGAAAACCAGCCTAACATGCCAACCATTCCTACTGGAGCCATTGTCCTTGTGCTCTGTAAAGAAGAAGTATCCAATGTGCTGTAAGAGAAATTCGTAAGCAAACAAGTGGGTTATGGAATGAGAGGATGAAATTTGAAAAATCAGTTATTCAATGCATTAAAAACATACATCATCCAATGTATTAACTTCTAGCATTGTCCAGATCAAAATACTTTTCAAAAAGAACCATAATGATACACAATATATGGGAAAAAACAGGGTTCAACTTACACTGTATGCTGCTTCACCTCCACTGTAGCTCTGTCACCAGCTGCTATCACAAAAGAAGTGACTTAGGGAGGGACTCTGTTCACTGGTGTTCTGTCAGCTAAGAAGGAGGTGCTGGCACAAACAGTCTATTGTGTTTGGTGTTTCTATGATCACTAACATCACATCTACACTTGAGCAATTTGGCACCTGACATGCCCATGGCTTCCAGGAATGTTAGATTGTATACTGCAGACACAAATACGGCCACAGTAACCTTGAACGATAGTAGCTGATCAACAGAGAACCCATTGAATCAATACAAGGAATTGCTCAGGCTGAAAACCTATTATGGGGGAAACCTGAGTGTTCATTCATGTGTGTATTTTTGCTGCATGCCAGTGATACAATAAGCTAGTTAGGCAGACACACTCTCACACACACACTTCAAACAACACCTCCCCCTAGCAGCAGTTCACATGACTGCAGAAAACTGGCTGCTGTTGTACTGTATACTTATGTTCCGAGTTATAGGCTGCAGTTAAATGTTATGAACGCTGTAAAATGACTTGCACAGTCATTTATGTTTATATTTTGAAATGCTGATAGGTGGGTATAGTTTAAATATCCAGAAAAGAAAAAAAAACTGTAGCTTCATTCCACATTAGTGTCTTCTTGCTTCCTGCAGCTGATTGACTGAAATCATACTCAGAAGGGAGGTATTACTAACAAAAAGGATCATTGTTCTAATGCGGAGCAGGGTTCAGATAAAGACTATGACCAGTGTTAGTGGATTAGGATGCTCCAGAGTTTGAGTTCTGCACATGGAAGTGAGGACATTTTGGCTGATTACTTTGAAAAGGTCAGGGGCTGAGTCATAAAACATAGGTGTAATATACATGATAAAGTTAGGTAGGTAACTTGGACTTTATTGATCCCACACTGGGGAAATTCCTGTGTTCCAGCAGCAACAAAACACCATGAGAACAAACACCACACACATATCTTGGGAAACAAATTCCAAAGTACCTAAAACCAAACAGAATATAGTATTTGAAAGGCAATCAAGAACAAGAATGATCGTCCCACAATTAATCCCTGAAAACAAATCAAAATACCTTAGAACAAGACAAAATATAGTATTAAGAGATCAAGAAATCAAGGACAAGAATATTACTCTTAGCCCTGTAGAGGTTTTCAAGTTAGAATGAATGGTACAGTATGCACTTTGTGTAAGCAGCCACTCCTGCACAATAATGAAGATGATACTATCAGCCTGGCTGCTTGGTCAGTAGAAGTACCCCATTCAGTGCCAAGGCATCAGAGCAGTTATGTAATTCTATATTCACACTATATTAAAATAATTTAACATGATTTGCATATACTTTCGTGCTGCTGTTCTTACAAGGAAGAATTGCACTAGTTTACAGCAATGCAAACATCACACACTTCACCACCCTCTAAAGTAGACACCAAGTAAAACCCACACCAATTACTTGTTCAGTAGCACCATGCTGCCATAACAATCTTCTAAAGTTCTGCAAGACAGACAGTATAATTCTCAACAATTGTTTTTTCCTCTCACTGATATTTGCTCAGTGACACAAAGCAGAATCAACAGCCTCTCTATGAACTGTAGATGGTCAGGGAGCCTGCAAGAATCAGTGCCAGTTCCAGATATTTGGAACATAATCCCTAAAGCACAATTGGTTCATTTAGGAATGAATCTTGCTAACAAATAGGCCTTGTTTATGAAATGAAAAAATAAATAATAACCCTCCTGATGCATGGTGAGTTTAACCCTGCAAAGGTGCATCTGGGTATGAGTATCTTCTAATGCTACCACAGGGTTCACTAACACACAGTTGAAATAACTGAATATAACACATTTTCTGATAGCCCTTCTCAAATGCTTTTAAAATTTTCTCTTCTGTGCCATCACGTTTAAGTATTCAATAAAATGTTTGAGTTAAAAAAAAATCACTTTAATTGAAATTGAATACATTTTACATGGTAACCTGAAGCTACAGCTAGCAGGCAGGTAGCTTAGCACAAAGATTGGAAATGGGGAAAACATCCAACCTGGCTTTGTCCTATTCTTTAAAAAAAAAAGCCTTCTAGCAACAGAGAGAACAAATGTTGAATTTTAAATGTGTCATGATTACATAGAACATCAATGAACAGTTGTGAGGGCAAGAATAAACACAAAATGATGTGATATGAAGAACTGTCTCAGTGAAAAAACTGGCACTTCCTGGGGTTTCATAAGTTTCCTTCACAAATAAAGACAAGATAAAAAAAGAGGGACTGGAGGAAAATAACGGGAAAAAACTAGAGTTTCTGGTGGTTTCAGTTTTTCTCATTTAACTCACATAAGCACAAAATGAACTACTGTTTTAAAACAAGGTCTGAGATCTGACTACAATGATACTGAAACTCATCCTAATGGAATTTACATTTGAAGAAATACAAGGTGTGGTCTTAACATGGCTAAAATACACTATGTACCTCAAAGAGCAGGCCAATTGAAACACACTGGCACTAGCCCAGCTTCCTCTGTATCAAAAAACAGGGTGAGCGAGATAGCTTTGTATTTAACAATAGTGTCTAAATATCTCTGATTTATTCATAGCCTGTTATAAATATTCACCATTTGCCAAGTATTTGCAACTCTTTCCATTTTCCTCTATGCAGTGAAAATCATTGAGATAAACCAGAATTTATCCTGCTCCCAGTTCTGCTCATTAAAATTCTTTAATTTAGCAACAAGATTTATTATTTTCTTTACTGTTGTTGCCTGCAGAGCAGTCTTCTGTCAGGTACAGTATCCCAACCAACACACACATGTACCCTTGTTTTAGTCACTTTTTAGGTCCCTACATAGACTTAAATTCATTTCCAGGAGATTTAACCTATCTTTAACCATAACCACTCCTTGCTAACCCTTAGCCAAAGCTGACGCTTGCTTTAACTTTACACAATGCCGTTTTTGTAAAATTTGACTAACTACATCATTGGGATCAACATCGGGTCCCTACATGTGACGCCGGACGCCGGGACACTTGTGTGATCTTTATTTTTGGCCCCCGCAAGCAGAGAAAAACAAAGCCACACACACACCCTTCATTGTAATTATGTAGATGTGCTGAGGGATTTTACTCATGTGGACTTTTCTGTCAGTCTCTCTCCATGCAGTCGACCCCCTTGCCTCAGCAGTAAACTAGCCTCCGTTATCTTAAATCTCGCTATCTGACAGGTTCCCTTTGGCAAACGTCATAGCCCACATTTGCTCATTCACTGTCTTTCAACCCTGGCATTGCTGCACACCTCAGACAGATGACAGCTTGTGTGGCAGAAAAGAATGTCCATTAACGTTAGACTCGAAAAACTGGTTTGCAGTGGCACCATGTCCAAAACTGGAGAAAGAGCATATTTTGAAAACACAGCTGCTTGCTTTCTCTACAAACATTTATAGCATATTATTATTATCCTTACTTACTGAAGAACAGATATCAGTTTACACATGTGGGTTTTCTCCTGGTAGGTTTCAGACTTTGTCAGCATTCTCCTCAGAACAGTCATCAGCAGCAATTAAATGTCAGGATGATTTACTATGGAAAAATTTATGCAAACATGGTTAGAAAACTATGGCATCAACTCAATTTCTTTGCTGAATCATAGGTTAAACCCTTTGGAAATTTCAGATGACCATGCTATGCCAGACAAGAAGCCATGTCACACAGAAAAACAATTATTCAATAAAAACATGAAGATAGCTTTGTTTTATTATTATTATAATATGGCATGTTTAAAACCCCCTACATAGCTGTTTCTCTCTCTCTCTCTCTCTCTCACACACACACACACACACAAGTACACAAACACATCACTTGTCCCACTTTTGTTTGTTCTTCAGTTGCTTGTTCATACGTTTCATTGTGATCAGTGCTGTCAGGATGCAAAACAGAACCAGGACAGGGAAGGATAAACAAGCCCACCTCAGCTGTCTCTCTCCAAATATGTCTACCACCATATCCCTCCGCCTGGCATAGTCCTGAAACAGAGCCTCCAGCTGGACCATGGTACACAGGGACAGAAACAGGTGGAAGATCTGGTGGCCCTGGCCCACAAAGTCACAATTACCTGGGAAGAAACATTCAGGGATAGGGCAGGAGAAGAAGAGGGCAGACAGCAGGAAGAAAGCAATCTGGAGGCCATGGAAGGGGTGTGATGGTTCCTGTGTCCAGGAGATTGTGAGCAAGCGGTGGGCTACAGGACTGATATCCAACACATATGCTAGGGTAGTAGGGATCAGCTGACAGATTTTACGCCGCAGTGGATATGGTCGCCGATACCTGGACTTGGCAAAACAGCAGCCTGCACAGGAGAGCCACCCAAAGAAAGCAGCTCCAGGTAGAAACAACAATCCGACCCAGCTTTCTCGCCACGCTGGCTCTGATGTGTAGAAATAATGGGCAAGTGAACAGCCATACTGATACACAGCAACACCTACATAGTCCATGAAGAAGAAGAAGTAGTGAGCATGTTCAGAGTGAGACTGCAAGAGGTGAGCTGTTACACTGAGGAACAGGTAGGTGAAAGAAGACACTAAGAAAAGGCTTAGAGGTAGAGAAGCTGCATCCAAGGTGTACCCCAGAGCCGCCACATTGGCCCACCAGCGGAGCAGCAGCACAGGACATGCCAGCAAGTGAGTCCACACATTCAGGGATTCATTGTGTCTCTGGAAGAGGCTGAGAAGGTAGCAGCGCCAGTCCTGCTTAATGGGCCGGTAGCCTGAGAGGACGTAGGGCTCTCGAAACAGGATAGGGACCTGGGAGGCAGTGGTGGTGGGACTAGGCGATGGCAAGGCGGAAGGGAGGAGGTATGTGAGGCGGCTGAGGTGCTTGATGTTCAGAGTCAATGTGCTGAGGCGTTGCAGAATGCCACCAGACATAACTGAGGGGTGGATGTGGTAGAGGAGGAGATGGTCTACAGACAGAAGAAGACTGCAGGGGTGGAGACAAAATTGGGAAAAAAAAGGCCATGTTAATACAGGACTTCACTTCAAAAGTAGCTAATATTTAAAAACAACAATAGTATTTCATCAGAAAGACCTTATAATGGCCCAAAACATAATAGTATCCAAATATGCACTTTGATGTGATGCCAACAAGCATTATTTGAGACGTCAAGCCATTTTTAGAACGCATCCATGTGCACAGTGAATCAGAGGTATAAAGATGGTGACAGAAGAAAGAGGGGGAAAGGGAAAGCTAAGCTTAACACAAGCTGAAGTGGATTTAAACAAGGGAAGAAAGTGAATTAAACTTCAGTCAAACCAGCCAGGAGCATGCTGTGAAATTTCTATTGACAGATTGACTGTTTTTGTGAGCTCTCAAATACTGCACCTCTTTTAAATTTGTCTATAAATTTCTATTGACAGATTGACTGTTTTGTGAGGTCTCAAATACTGCAGCTCTTTTAAATTAGTCTACAAGGTCACACATGTACAGGATGTTGGGCCACACAGAACTAATGCTTTCTACAGTCTCATCACACTGCAATAGAACAAAACTAAAAAACAGTAATAAAACCAATATGCACAACATGAAAGGCTGAATAACAGGGTGCCATTCCTCTCCACATAGATTACGCACACCAGACAAGCAAGTCTAACCTGTAACCATGGCATGTGAGACAGGCACATACAGAGAAGACTGTTGTCAGTAAGGTAAGTGGAGGCAACAAGACACTCAACCATTTGAGGATGATAGCTTTTCACACCAGCTACCCTCCTAAATGGTGCGCCTTGAGCCCCCTTATTGCTGCTATCACATTCCTCTGACGCGCAATACCTGTTGAAATACCCTAAACTCAGTTCATCTTAGACAAACAAGATATCACCTGTAGGGTTAATGAATACGTACAGTCATTCGTGTAAGTCTGTCCTAGAAAACAAGCTGCATATACATTGTTAGTCCGTAGAGAAGTAACATACCTGTAACGTTATGTCAACACAAACCCTTTAGTTTACAAAAGTTGTAAAAAAAAAATGAATTAGCTAAAACCATATGTTTCAAAACTAGCTGTGAAAATCTAACACTCAATAAGAAACATCACTTCACCTGCTTGTATCAATAAAACACCTGCTGCGCCACTTGAGTCCAACAACGTCATCGTCTTCTTCTTCTTCTGTTTTCAGCGGTTGGAAAGCAACGTCTCGGAAGAAAGTGGAAAACCATCAATACTACATACTTTCCTCCGTTAGAAAGTGCACAGCCATAGATAACTATAACACGCTGAGGTAGAGAGCTATATCGGAGGTAGTGGGAGAAAAGGGTACAAAGCCGGTCAACACCGGTAGCGCAAGAGCTGGAAGCGTAGGCGGGGTTACGATGCCCAAAAGGCGCCTACGCCTCCTCATGTACTGTATACTGAGACAGCGACCGTCACTGTTAAGTCTGTGCTTAGCTTTATAGGCCATTCTTAGCATTTATTAATTAATAGAACTTTGGAAGAGTGGTTTGTGTTATTGTTTAATATTACCCAAATTTTAATAGCTAATTATTGTGCCAAAGGAAACGTGCATGATTAATTTTGGATGTGTCTCCATCTACTGTGCAGTACCATACACTGCATTATTGTTGTTGAGCTGATCTAAGTTTTTTCTTCAGTTACATGCCAACATACTGTACAACAGACTTTGAAAATGATATAAGAATTAAGCAACACAAAGCACATTTTCCAAAATTATTATATAGTTAAATCAACGCCCTTCTGAAACATTTTGAGCAACAACTGGACTCTGTCACCTTCATGAAGGAGGATTTAAGGAACAAAGATGCCCAGGAAGGCTTTGAGCTCACATTGACAACTCTGCCCATCCCACTAATGGAAATGATTGGTTTAAATCACTGACCTATTAAAAAAAAGCTGGACAAACCCACTGTGATGTCACCCATTGGTTTTCTGAACAGCTGATTTAAAGTCTGGTGGTCTCTAAAATGCATCTTTAATCTGTGGTTTGCCGCCATATTGGTAGCGCTTCACGCCGGCTGCTACGGATAACCCAAAAATGGGCAAAGAAGTGGAGCATGGGTGGAGCTGAGGCGGGCTGAATGAAGCCAGCCAGTGGGGGACTCTTCCGCCTGTCACTCAAAGTACCCACGCTCGTAATTAATGGGTAGCTCTTAGTCTCGATATAATTAAAACAGGCGAGTAATATACACATTCACCCTACCCTCTATGGGGATACATATCCTATGTGTATACGTAAAGAGTCTATGTAGCCACCCTGGGAACAAACGGACACTTATGGAGTAGGCTTTTTGTTTACTTTTTGTTTAAGGGGAAGCCCGTCCCTTCTTGGTCCTTTTTCGCGGGAGTTCATCAATGGGCGGGGTCATACGGTGGTACAGAGGATTCTATTGGACAGATGCACGTTTATGCCATATACGCAAATGAGCGCGCACCGAGTTGGCCAATCGCATGTCACGCTTTAGTTGTATCCGGCTCACAGTGGCGCGAAAATCCCTCTGTCGTTTGGCTTGACTGCAGCCGGGCTGACAGTGTGCGAACCTCTACAAGATTTTAAGGTTACTAACGCAGAAGAAATAATCGCACATAATGGCAACTGATGTCGTAGATGACCGGGAGATGAGGGAGGCCCAGAGGGATTACCTAGACTTTCTGGATGATGATGTAAGTCATACTTTTGCTGGGCTAAGTACTCTTGTCATGTGGGGTGAAACGGGAAACCACGCGGTCATAACAAAAGCAGCAACCTGGCACTTACATTGTAAAAAAGGAAACAAAAGTCTTTGTTCATATCTGTGTCCACAGTTCAGTCACATTCATTTCCAAACGCTAACGTTACAGATTGGACGCGTTGTGCAGTATGTTCTGTAAAGAGGAGGCATTTTTTCACAAGCCCAATGAAAACGGTATCTAATGTCAGCATGCACTGGGCTAATAAATATGAAACAAACACCAACTCCTTGGCTTTTCTGCAGCAAGACCAGGGGGTTTACCAAAGCAAAGTCCGGGAAATGATCAGCGAGAATAAGGCTCGACTCCTCGTCAACATCAACGATCTGAGGAAACGCAACGAGGCCCGGGCCGCAAAGTAAGAAAGGACACTCAGTGTGTACATGCCAGCTGATATGTGCAATGTCCACTACTATAATGTGCTGTACAATTTGGGACACTGTTATGATGGTGATGTTTATTGGAGGTTTGCAAGCCAACTTAAGGAGCATTACCGCCACCTGCTGGGCTGGAGTGGGGCACAACAGTAGAGGTGACACTGCCCCTATGGCTTACATATTATAATCTATACCATAGATTAACTAGCTGTTAAACACTTATCAACGTCTGCGCAGTAAAGTCAGGCGATATGTAACTTTTGAAAGACGAAAAATGTGCTAAGTAATTGCACTGATAAGAAATATCCCACTAGTTGTTAGTTATATACAACTGTATTTGGTCTGGTATGGCAGTATTATGTGGTGACTAATGCAAATAGTTTGTAACGTAAAACTCTTGTGCTGCTGATGTTCTACATTTGTGCTCTAGTTTTGTAATTGTCCCTTGTTTTCTACAGTGGCTTGAATTGTAAAAGTTTAATATTAGCACCGTCACATGTGCCATCACACTGGCACTGTATTATTATTTCATATTTGAAGGAAACACGTGCCACAGGGGCCCAGAATACACATTTTGATTAGTATAACCAACTGGTTGAGCTTTTGTTCCTCGTGCTGGATATCTATACTCAATGCAATTAGATTCCATTATATTCACTTTGATTTGATTAATAATTAATTTACATCAGTAAAAATACCAGTGTTGCATGAAGTATTTCACATTATGCAAACACATTTCCACGTTATAATAGTGTGAACCAAGTATTTATTTTTTTTAATTTGACAAATACAAAACTACTTAAACATGACACATCTTTATATTTAAGAACGCACGCAAAGCAGTTGAGCAGGGGCAATAAAAACCCTGCACCCCTAACAAGGCCATCATCACATCATTAAAATGAGCCTATCATAAAGTCTTACCTATCCCATACAGTTACAGTCCAGTATCAGATGCTTCAACTAAGTCCACACATCCATATTAATGATCTGTTTGAGCCTATGAAACTCTGGTCACTGATTGACTTGCACTGTTCGTGCTGATATCGGCCTGATGTATGCAGATAGCTGTTAGCTAGCATTAGCTCCTGACAGGAACAGACCGGATAAAGCAGAATCCACACAGGGTTCACTCAACTTCCATGGCCTCACATCTTGTAGCCAGAGATATCTGTTCAGCAAAGCAAACTGAGAGCTCTGACCAGTCTGCAGTCGTTTTTTATTTTTTTATTAACGGGATCTCACCTACAATTCAGCTAACCACCCTGAGTGATGACAAAGTGTTGTGTGTTTACAGTCATGAATCAACACTGCTAATAGTCAGCTGTTGTCTACGTTACTTTATGACTTCAAATAACCTTTTTGTGCATGTTGTAAGATCTCGTTTTCAACCAAGAAGACTTTACACACCAGACAGGCTGAACTAAACCTCTTACTGTGTAGCAAGTCATTTAGCATTTAGAGCAGTTGTACATGTTTACTGAGAAAATTTGCAAATACAGATATTGATATCTGGAGTTCAAGAATAAGCAATTGAATTGTTCAAACAAGAATTGTGATTAATTGGATAATTTATTTTATTTTTATAAAATCCAGCCCTATATTCACCAGAATAATATAAGCACATAATTAAATTAATGACCCAAGTGATTTAATCTTTCTACCAGGCTGATGAACAATGCCTTTGAGGAGCTGCTGGCTTTCCAGCGGGCTCTCAAAGACCTCGTGGCCTCAGTGGACGCCACGTACGCCAAGCAGCATGAGGAGTTCTTTATCGGTCTGGAAGGCAGCTTCGGTTCCAAGCATGTCACCCCTCGTACCCTGACCTCCCGGCTGCTGGGCAGCATGGTGTGTGTGGAGGGCATCATCACCAAGTGTGAGTTTGTTTATTAGTTCTTCCTCTTTAGGAATCTACTCATCACAACCTGGCTCTTAGGATGATTTGCATCTGGTGTAATTTTTTGTAATGTAATGATTCCTTTTCACTCAGTAATTCTGAACATTCATTAATGATTTCCCTCTTTCTCATTCTTCTTCAGGTTCTCTCGTGCGTCCCAAAGTGGTGCGCAGTGTCCATTACTGCCCGGCCACCAAGAAGACAATGGAAAGGAAGTACACAGACATGACCTCCTTAGATGCTTTCCCCTCCAGTGCCATCTACCCCACCAAGGTAGCCATGCCTTCATATTGTTATTTTTACATTCCAGGGGTTTATGTGCCATTATTTAAAAGAAAAAGGTGCTTAGAATATTCAGAACTCACTTTGGTACTGTCTCACCTAAAAGGATGAGGACAACAATCCTCTGGAGACAGAGTTCGGTCTGTCCGTCTACAAGGACCACCAGACCATCACAGTGCAGGAGATGCCAGAGAAGGCTCCTGCTGGCCAGCTGCCACGCTCTGTGGACATCATCCTGGACAATGACCTGGTGGACATGGTCAAACCGGGAGACAGAGTGCAGGTCATTGGAACGTACCGCTGCCTGCCTGGCAAGAAGGGGGGGTTCACCTCCGGCACATTCAGGTGAGACAGACTAGAGTGTTTGTGGTGTTGTTGTTTGTTGGGGGCGCCCATAACTATAGTTGTTTTTGGCGGCCTGTTTTCATTTTAGTTTTAGTCTAGTCTTTGAGTGAAGCTGTCATTTTAGTTTTTATTAGTTTTAGTCAATTCATACTCTTTTTAGTCTAGTCTAGTTTTAGTCGACGAACACTGATGACATTTTAGTCTAGTTTTAGTCAATGAAAATTGTATTTTAGTCTCTTTTTAGTAATGCAGTTCTATTTATATATATAGTATAAGTACCTAGTAGTATAGATGAAACCAAACGTTTCTTTTAGCCAAACCCATTTCAGACAAGGTTATCTTATTATATTATTGTTACCTTATAGACTCAAGAATACATCCAATACACATTTTGTGGCCACATTTCTCTCCATCTTTTTCCACAACACATTATCTTTTCCACTTCTATGTAATTAAAGTTTTTACAAATGTCGTTTCTTCTTTTTCTCCCAATGAGAAATACTGCAAAATAATAATAATAACACGTCTAAACGAGACGAAATAACGTTATAACATTTCGTCTCGTTTTTTATCGTCAACAATATTGCATTATATATTTAATTATAGTCATCGTCACATGACCAGCATTTTTGTTGCGTCTCGTCTCGTTTTCGTCACGCGATAAAGGTTCATTGATGACGTCATTTAGTCATAATTTTCGTTGACGAAAGCAACACTGCCCATAACTGATAGTCCCTCTTTCTTTTCAGGACCATCATGATAGCCTGCCATGTCAAACAAATGAGCAAGGAGGTGTCCCGCAACCTCTCTGTAGACGATGTGGTCAAGATCAGGAAATTCAGTCGCACTCGCTCTATAGTAAGACTGTCTGGTTTCTCCCAGTTCATCACACTTCTGAAAATGTCCCTGTGAGAAACTAAATCGCCCCCTTCTGATTTATTTAGGATGTGTTTGACCAGCTGGCTCATTCCCTGGCTCCCAGTATCCATGGCCATGAGTACATCAAGAAGGCGATTCTTTGCATGTTGTTGGGTGGTGTGGAGAAGGTCCTAGAAAATGGCTCCCGCATCAGAGGAGACATCAACATCTTGCTCATTGGTACCTGAGTTTTTTTTGTTTGTTTGTTTGTTTTTTTCTTTCTTTCTTTGTGCTAATGTGCCCATTCGGCCAGAAAACAATATGTCATATCTAATCATGCATTTTTGTTTCTCAGGTGATCCGTCAGTAGCAAAGTCCCAGCTTTTGCGTTACGTACTCCACACTGCGCCCAGAGCCATCCCCACCACAGGACGAGGCTCCTCTGGTGTGGGTCTGACTGCTGCTGTCACCACTGACCAGGAGACTGGTATGACAGTATGACACACAGTAACCTAAGTGCACCCACTGTGCATGACAACATCAGCACACTAACTGGGAGATTCACTTTTCTGGTGACATCAGATATCAGCTCTTTTTTTTTTTTAAAGGTTTAAATGGGGTTAGTGAACACATCTTTGTTTTTGTTCTCTCCGCAAGGTGAGCGTCGTCTGGAGGCGGGCGCCATGGTGCTGGCTGACCGTGGCGTGGTGTGCATCGATGAGTTTGACAAGATGTCCGACATGGACCGCACGGCCATCCACGAGGTGATGGAGCAGGGCCGCATCACCATCGCAAAGGCAGGCATTCACGCCCGCCTCAACGCCCGCTGCTCTGTGCTGGCAGCTGCCAACCCCGTCTATGGCAGGGTGAGGAACAGATCTGATGAGAATTCATGGTAATTTTGAAATGGTTTGCTTTACTTTCAACTGAACCTTTTCCCCTTTTATGAAACGTGTATGTACTTCATACAGTATGACCAGTATAAAACCCCCATGGAGAACATCGGCCTCCAGGACTCGCTGCTGTCACGTTTCGATCTCCTTTTCATCGTGCTGGATCAGATGGACCCTGAACAGGACCGTGAGATCTCAGACCACGTGCTGAGGATGCACCGCTACCGTGACCCCCGTGAGCAGGATGGAGCAGGTACTGTGGATCAGTACTTATTAATGTTATAGCTACCGTTTTATTGTGATAGAGGCCAAATGATTTCTGTTCGGAGCATTAAGAGGTTGTTGTCTGTATAAAATCAGCATTTCCTTTTTTTTTTTTTACCCCCCAAGCTATGGCTCTGGGTGGGACAGTGGACATCCTGGCTACTGAAGATCCAGACGCAGTAACAGAGGAGCACGAGGAGCTGCAGGTCTATGAGAAACACAACAACCTGCTGCATGGAAGCAAGAAAAAGAAGTATGCACATAGGCTCTGTCTTGGCATGGAAGAACTTTTCACTTCTAAGTGTTCTTTTATTCACCGTATAGAGGATACATTAGTGTGAAAGGTTCAATAAACCACTTGCACGACTGTGGTTTAAATGACCAACAGGTTAAAAATAAAGTTTTCTTCTGTTTCAGGGATAAAATAGTGAGTAAGGAGTTCATGAGGAAGTACGTCCACATTGCCAAGGCTGTGACTCCTGTGCTGACGGAGGAAGCAGCCAATCACATTGCAGAGGAGTACTCGAGGCTGAGGAGCCAGGAGCAGCTGGGCGCCGATATTGCCAGGGTGAGCAGGAGCAGGCACACGCCCCATGTGCACTGATTAGGCCTGTTCCTCACGACTATTCGCATATATTTGCTGTACCTAACTGACATCTGTCTTGCACACGCCTGGTAAAGTGGCACAACACAAACTCTCTTCCACTTAAGACACATGTAACATACAATGTAGTTTCACTGTAGGGATCATTATTTTTTTATTTATTATTTTAATGTATTGCTTATTGTTGTGAATACAAAAATGTATACAAATATATCATATTTAGAAAAGGCAGGTTAACTTTAAGGATTATAATCATGCCTTTCTGGTCTATCCACCCCACAACAGTGGTCCTCAATTTACTTCTTAGTCAAAATTGGTTTTACAGTTAGTTGGTTTACATTTAGTTGAACAGTAGGGGTATAAAACCTCATTCTCATCATGATACGATCCTATATCGATTTCAATTCAGGGGCCTGCAATCTATTTCACACGATTGTTTTTATTAACTAAAGTGTAAGTATCATTTTAATAATGTATTGAGCTCCTCTGTTCACTTTCAAGTGTTATTTAAATATAAATAAGGACACGTATACTGATCAGCCATAACATTATGACCACCTGCCTAGGAATTAGTGTGGCAATTGGTCAGCACTAATGTCACTCTGCAGCTCACTCTGCATCTTCTGTGAATTCATTTGCTTCCACAGTTCTACTGTCGGGAAGAGCACAGTGTGTCTACAAGTCAGTGAAAAACTTATGTAAAAGGAGTGAAAACTGGCCGTGAGGACGAGTTGGAGAGAATTATTTAGACATTCAACAGCCTCAACACTCTAGACATGATATCACCACTACAGCCTCTGACTCTTTTACAGTATTTTTCATTTTCAACCACTTTAACAACGATTCAGATAAATCTGAATCTTTTGAAAAGTACAAATGGAAGTTAAAAGTTTAATCTACAGCAGGTCAACCTCATCATCAGTGAGCCGTGGGCGTCCATGACCCTGTCTCCAGTTCACCGTCTGTCCTTCCTTAGACACTGTTGGTAGGTACTAACCACTGCAGACCAACAACACCCACCAAGACCTGCAGTGTGGGAGATGTTCTGACCCAGTCATCTCACCATCACAGTGTGGCCCTTGTCGAAGTCACTCAGATCCTTACACTTGCCCATTTATCCTGCTTCCAACACGTCAGCTTTGAGGACTGAATGGATCAAATGCTTCAGTAGCTTGTGAGCTGCTCACATCTCACTTTTAGTATGAATTTAGCTGTGCCACCTGGCCTTTGTTGTCCAGTTTGAAAAGAATGGCATTACACCAGGAATGCGTACATACAGTATGTGGTGGGCTGTCAAAATAAAAGCACACATAAAAGCCATGTTTATATTTTGCATCAGTGTCATCAGATCGTGGGGTGTTTGATCGAGGGATTGATGGATTGTACAACCATTACCACATGATGCGTGTGGCCTATGAACATGGCCTGACCTCGTTTACTCCTCCTCCACAGACCTCTCCGGTGACGGCCCGAACACTGGAAACACTGATCCGTCTGTCCACAGCACACGCCAAGGCCCGCATGAGCAAAGCTGTGGAGCTGGAGGACTCTGAAGTGGCTGTGGAGCTTGTCCAGTTCGCCTACTTTAAAAAAGTCTGTACTGCTCTTTTGCACTGAACAATAGGGTGACAGGTTTGTTAAAACAGCACCAGGTTTCTGCAGTAACTTGTAAATAAAGTCTTGTCGCGCTGGTGTACTTTTAAAAAAAAAAAAAAGGTTCTGGAGAAAGCGAAGAAGCGTTCGAGAAAGGAGCGGGACTCGGATTCAGAGGAGGAAGAGAACGAAGAGGCGTCCACTCAGCGTTCACAGCGGACTCTGAGGAAGAGGTGAGTCTGAGTGAAACGCAGACACTTTTGTCTTGTTCTCCCCACACATGGGAAACCCATTTTCTTCCTTCCTTGCTCTGTATGTCAGTGTTTGCACTAATAAATACTTGACATTTAAAGTAACTTTTAAAGTTTTCAGTCATCAGTGAATTTGTTCTGTGTGTCCTGCAGGGGGCGTCAGAGCTCTCAGGACAGCCATCCCTACAGCCCGTATGACTTCACTGAGCAGGATGTCCCTGAGAGTAAGCACCACTTTTTTTTTTTTTTACTTCCTCACACTGGTGCAGCTTTGTTTCCATTCTGAGTGACACACTCATCCTCGGTCTGGGACACTGACCTTTAACATGGGGTAGTCTTTGGCCCTTTTGACTGTATTATTTTTATGAGGCAGTCTCGTCTTTTTGAAGGGTGAGCTGCAAAATGGTCCATGTGAATATGGTCTTGAAGTCGAAACTCACTGGACTGCAAAGATTGAAAATATAAATAAAGTATAAAACGAGGAAATTGCAAATACCTTTGGAAGCATTATGTAGTCATGGGCTCTGATGAAAGGGAAAAGAACAGCAATGGGAAGCACAGAATCGACTGGATATTAAATAGGATTATTCTACTAGTGGTCAGGTGGCAGAATGTGAAGCTGAAAGCAGGTGCTCCTTGTTGACCTTTACAGCTGCTGTGTGGCAGCAGTTTTCCTTTTTCAACACATGACTTTGGTGGAAAGGAAACTGACAATGTGCACATACTGCCAGATGAAGGCAATACTAGCATGTGGATGCATGTGCACTACACTTTTAATACACATGAGCAAACAAACTGGACACAGATACACAAAAGAAACTATTTAATAACCACCTTAAATTCTTTTGTCTTGAAAAAGTGGACCGCTATGTTTGAAAAGCACAAATCCCACTTTAATGCGGCTTGTCCTAGTGTATTTTGGCCTTGTCTTCTGCTTGTTCTGTTGTGCCAAGCAGTTTGCTCACTACTGCCCCCAGTGGTCAGGGGGATACCAGCCTAAACTGGTCTAGTACTGAGAACCTGACCACTGGTTGATATGGTCATGCAACAGAGAAAGCTAAACCTGACTAGGAGGCACTCTAAAACACAGATGTTACACTGTGAGTGTGACTTGTTTTGTTTACAAGATCCAGATGTTGCAATAATCTACTGTTTTATTTTGCTACTGACCACTGCATTTTTGTTTGTTTTTCAGTTGTACAAACAGCAATACTGTACTGAATACTTCAAATATGACTGAAAATAATATATGCCTTTTTTTTTCCTATTTAACTTTTGTTTTATTAGTCATGACGGTAGATTTTCAATACTCTACTTTCAAGAGTTTTTAAAATGCTGTAGCTCATTGCTGCATACAGGGTTTCCTGCTACCGTCTCAATGTTTTGGAGTTCTCACATCAGTCTTTACGCTCTTCAGTTCAGGCCGGCACCCCTAAAGCAGCCAAGCCACAGCAAGAGGAGGAGGAGGAGCCCATGGATGCCACGTCCCAGGCCAAAGACCCTGAGCTCTCTTCAGAAAGGTGGGGCACTGATTTCCTACATCCTCGGTATCAATCAGTTTTAGCTTAATTAAGTCCTCCGATTAAATGTATAGCATTGGAAAAATAACCTCAAGGTTGCTTTTTTTTTAAAGCCCTTGAGCAAATTACAACCTGATATGTGTGTGCTGTAAATGTAATCAAAGCAAAGATTCCGTACTTGTCTTCACCAGGATAAAAGAGTTCAAGTCGTCCCTGTTCGCAGTGTTCCAGTCTGCTCATGCTCAGTCTGTCAGCTTGAACACGCTGATGGACGACATCAACAAAGAGCGTCAGAATCGGTTCACGGAGAACGAGGTTCACGCCGCTTTGGCTCGCATGCAAGACGACAACCAGGTCATGGTGGCTGATGACATCATCTTCCTCATTTGATGGAGGAATAGGAGGATGACTTTCAGAAATCAGTAACACCGGCTCCACGAGAAGCAGCAGTTTGTTTGTGTCAGTCTATCAGTGTAAAAGCATCAAATGTTATTCAGTTATGTGCTTGTTTCTGTTCAGGTAATGTTACTTTATAATGTCCTTATTACGAATCCACAGACTGTTTTCATGCTCAACAGAAATCTGTTCATAAGAGCTCACAGTAATTTTACCACCACTTATGTTGCCTGTGTTTGTATATAGTTGAAAACAAGTTGATTAACTGTAGTCGTGTAATAAAAATAAGAAATCGTGCTTTGGTAATGACTTTGATTTTTAACTGATCTGACAGTTCTGATGCAGCGCGTTACATCATTTCTTATCCCCCCCCCCCTCCTTGTCTTCAAGTTATCCTATCAAATCAGAGTTACAACTAGTAGTGGTTGAAATCTTCTCTTATGAAATGGGACAAACCTTTCAGACCTTTATGTGCCGATGTTGTTATTGATGATGATTGAGCAAATAGACATGATGAGTTGCACAGTGCTGTCTTCAGCTGTGGTGATTTCTCTTACATGGTCACTAAGAGCTGCAGGTAGTTAGCCACACTGTTTTGTGTCTGCTTTTAAAAACCCTCTGTCTGAAGGGGAGGGGGGAGGAAGGAACACGCCATTGTTGCACCCACACTTTCCAAGTGTATTTGGTTTTTGGTTCAAAAGTCAACTGTGGCTCTGAAGAGTCTGTAGAGAAGGCTCAGAATCCCTCAAGTCATGCACCAAGCCCTGAGAAATGTGAGCAGCCACTGTCATCTAGCACATAAGAGGCCTTGAGCTCTCGACACCCACAGCTGACTCATAACAGTCATATCAAAGGCCACAGCTTGTGTCTGTGTTGCATCTTTTACTTTAGCGAACACATATTTTAGGTTTTTTTTTTTTTTGTTTTTTTTTTTTTTACAGCTGTGCTTCCTGGATGATCATAGTAACTCATTTAGAATCAGCTAAATATTCAAATGCTGTTACAGTTTTTGTTCCACAGTCACTTTGGTATGTTTCTTGAATCCTCCTTGATATGTACAAAACGATAAGAGCATTTCTCAAAACAGTTCGTACAATCAGCACCACACAACGTCAATGAATATGCCCGTGCATCAAAATGACAAGTCCTTGTGTCATCGTTCACGATTAGTAATGTCAATACAACAGTGTACTATGTAGGTTCTGTAAGTTCATGTGCAAGCTCTGGCTCAGGTTTTGATGAAATTAATTGAAAATACACAAGGCTGCACTTTTTCACATTACTGTATGTGGCAGATTGATAAAGAACAGGCTCCTGTTTACTCTTTTACTGTTTTTACAGCATAGTACAAAAAATGCAACATTAGAAATGTAAACACTTCATAACATTTGGCTGTGTTCAACCAATTGGGCCATGATTGAGAACATGGTCCACAAGCGTGGCCCTTATTTCACTGGGAATGTGTTTATCTCCTTGGCCTCTTAAGCATAAGTATAAGCATTAACTTTATTGCCAAGTATTCAAACAATACAAGGAATCTGACTCCAGCTCAATGGCCCTCGATGTGCGGCTCCTGTTTACTCTTTTACTGTTTTTACAGCATAGTACAAAAAATGCAACATTAGAAATGTAAACACTTCATAACATTTGGCTGTGTTCAACCAATTGGGCCATGATTGAGAACATGGTCCACAAGCGTGGCCCTTATTTCACTGGGAATGTGTTTATCTCCTTGGCCTCTTAAGCATAAGTATAAGCATTAACTTTATTGCCAAGTATTCAAACTGACTCCAGCCCAATGGCCCCTGATGTGCACAGCAATAAAAACAGAATAAATACAGAATATATACAAGTTAAAAGAGCAAAACACAGACTAGCTATTCAAGAGTGCAATAGCCCAGGAGAAGAAACTGTCTCTGTGTCTGGTTGTCTTGGCGTACAGAGACCTGTAGCGCCATCCAGAGGGGAGGAGTTCAAAGAGTTTTTGTCCAGGGTGTGAGGGGTCAGCAGAAATCCTCTCTGCCCCCCTTTTGACTCATAAGGCAGAGAGGATGGCCTTCCTCTGTTTTGCCCGCCTACCCTTCCACCTGCACAGCTCAACTCCTCTTCTTTGCAATTTGTTAAAAATAATGAAAAATTGCTTAAATGATGTGCACGAGTGACTAGATGATGTGGAGGTTGAAGACAGTTTTGAAAATTTCATTTTTGAGCCAAGTATAAAAGTGACTGAGAAAAACTATACTATGAACGTTCAGACTGGTGATGCTCTGAGCTCCTCCCCTCTCCTCTCCTCCCCCTTCCTCTCTCTCTATGCTTCTATATGCCACCACTACACATTACTAACTTTGTCTCCTCTCTCCCGTAGTGTGTCCTCTCTCTCTCCCTGTACCTTTCTGCAGGTTGTCCTGGCCCTGGAGCTCTACATCTCTGACGAGCAGTCACCAGCCACATCGACCTGATCAGTGTTTGATTGTTGTGTCTTGTTGCTTTTCTTCTTTTGTCTCTCCTCTATCCACTCACCCCCACCGGTCGAGGCAGAAGGCCGCCCACCAAGAGCCGGGGTCTGTCGGAGGTTTCTTCCATTAAAGGGAGTTTTTCCTCCCCACTGTCACCAAGTGCTTGCACAAGTGGGATTTGTTGGGTTTTCCTCTATAATGATAACAATAGTAAGGTCTAGACCTTACTTTGTAAAGTGTCCTGAGATGACTCTTGTTGTGATCTGGCGCTATACAAATAAAATTGCAATAAAAGGAAGAAGTTTGAATAAATGAGTGGTCTCTTCCGGGACGACAGTGTCCCCATCCACAGGATGCAAGGAAACTGATGTGAATCATATGCTGTGGCCTTCACAGTCACCAGATCTCAACCAGTTGAACATCTATGGGGGATTTTGGACCAGTGTGTTAGACAGCGTCTCCACCACCATCATCAAAACACTAAATGAAGGGATATGTTTTGGAAGAATGGTGTCGATCCTCCAATAGAGTTCAGAGACTTGGATAGTCAATGCCAAGGATCACTGAAGCTGTTCTGGTGGCACGTGGTGGCCCAGCACCTTACTGAGACACTTCATGTCGGGTTTTCCTTTAAGAACTCAAATAACGAAATAAAAGAAAAGTATCCACGGAGGAGAAGATTTCTTGTTCTGGGTCTACAAGCTCTGAAGCACTGGCAGGAGGTGCTGTGTGACTATCAACACTATGTCCCAAAGCTTTGTAACGCCACATGAAAATATAACATATAATGGATGTATTGGCTGTGCAAACAAGTCACTTAACCAGACATCAGGATGCTAATGATAGCAAGAAATAACTGAAGATTTTCAAGATTGTGAACTGGTCCTACACTCTGTAAAACCTGATCCCAGTGGCATGCACGCTCAAAGGCTCCACAGACTGCAGGCTGCAAAGCTCCAGTTTCTGTTGACGGTGAGGCCAGTACTCATGTTAGTTGCTTTAATTATTAATACAAGGTTTAAATAAAGGTGTTCTACAGGCCACACTACAGTAGGTGCTCAGAATATGGAGAAAGGCAGACATGCTGAAGCACTACTATCGTGTTACAGCTTGTATAGATATTGTCTATAGATCTTTCTACATTATGAAGAGCTACGCTATCATCTCATTCATCACCAGGTGCATCAATTTGCCTGATTTTACTTATGGGAAATATAATGTTGTTCCGACCTTTATGTACAGTTAACAGCGCCAAACTACATCTAATTCTGAAACTTTTTCTCTGTGTCTCACTACAAATCCAGTAAAGTTGGGCTCCACTTCGCAGACTCTTTACTCATATGATGCATGAGGAGAGCAGATGTTATCACCATGTGTCTTTGAAGAGTACAGTTATGCTGATTTACCACATCCCTGTCAGCACTTCTTTGACCTACATTGTTTAGAGTGGGTTTGAAGTGTGTAGGTGTAGTTACTAGTAGTGTGATTTATATGACAGATAAAAGATAAACAGTTCTTTGACAGGGTTGGATATGCTATACATGTTTTATTCTGATTACTGAAAGGGGCCTCTTTTAAACTCAGTTCTCAGATTTTTTGGAAAACCCATCACAAATAATGGTCAGCTTGACTTGGATTCAGGCTGAGGAAATCTTCTCTGGTTTGGACAATGAAAGAAACATTTTCAGATCAAATTGCAGGCTTTTGCGTCAGAGCCTCTTTTAATTCAAAACCTCTTTTGTGCCCTAAAAGTCAGAGGTAGTGTACTATTTTCAAAGCCACATACAAAAAGCTTTTCAGTGAAGCAGTGTTTTGCCACCTTTTGACAGGATGCAACAGGTCACACATGGCATCACTTGGCCTACACAATGTAAAAGTGCTGTGGCTGGATTATGATAAGTCAGAACAGAGGCAGGTGAAAAGAATAAGAGTTTTTGAACATTACATGGAAAGAACAAGCTATTGTCATTTACAAGCAGGAAAGACATTCTATCTTTCTCTTTGTTTGAAATGCATGTTGCCCTGCACTGTGATGAGTTCAAAATAATGAGAAATATTCTCTATGTTGGAAGAAAAGGAAAAGAGATGGGGGTGTTAGGTGGACTCAGACAAACAAAGAAATTCTGACCACAGAGAGACAAAACTCTGTTGTATCTTTGAACTCAGTGACAGTCAGAGCGGAAGTGTACCTCACATCTTGCCAACACATTCTGCCTGTATATAAACACAGAGACACTGTACACACACCAAGACAGCAGAGGAGAGCTGAGCTCTGAAAGCTACACGACACAGTCATGCTACTGGTGAGTTGGACCACTTTGCTTTTCATTTATCTCTTGATGATAATCAAAAGATTACCTAGAAAGGGGTCACCTTATACGACATAGTGTGAGATTGTATGAAACGTTAGTGTGTTATTTGACTTTTGACTCAGAATTTCACATTGGAAATTCAGCAAAGCAAGAACCTACAGCAGACAAAAGTGAGCTAAAAGGATATGACACCTTTTCTGATCCTGCTCTTCTGGATTTGTCTTTAGCTGTAGTTAGTTTTTCCACATGCTATCACTGATAAAACACTTAAAAGGCTTCTGGCCTGGTGTTGTGGTGTTAAGGTGCTGAGAGCTCTGTTGGTGCTGGGCCTGGCCACACCATTGCACGCCACCAGGAAAGGAAAAACGGTCTCTGTGAAGGTGGGGAATGGAACTGGACTGAAGGGCAAGACAGTGAAACTGCTGTTGGATCCTTCAGTGACGTCTCAGCCCAGAACCTCTGCATCATCCATTGCCAGCATGTCTCTGTCCCCGTGGACATACAAGTGAGGCATCACTGAAGTCTTAATCAGTTTTTAGTTTTGAACTGTTAAAGGCCAAAAATTCTAACTGTCTCCTCTTTTTTTTTTTAAATTTGATGTGCAGGGACTCCTATGTAGTGTCTCGGTTACCCAGTAAGATCTCCCATGCTCAGTGCCTGACCTCTGGCTGTCTGAGCCTGCAGGACGGAGGTGAAGATGCAGCCCTGGAGGCCAAACCCATCTACTACCAGGTCCTCGTCCTCCACAAGTGAGCAGTTTTTTTGTTTTTTTTGTCTGTTTCTGGTTTTGAAGGGTGGCCTAGGGTCAACTTAACAGTTAGATTAACAGTGATATAGACTTTGAAGATTTCGTGCTCTCCACCTCTGCGTGTCCTAAGTGCGTAATGTAAATCAGTGTTGGGGAGCAGTGAACTACATGTAAACTACTAGTTGGAGTAACTTGCTGGTAGTTCAACTCCACTCATATTTGTGCAGTGACTGAAGTAATTAAATACATTTTTAGCAATTTTTGTGCGGTTAATTACTAAAACTACAAATAATTTTTGCTCATCAAATGAAAAGAATGTTTTTTTCTTTGTATTGTACCATTGCTTCTCTAACCCTGAACACTGAGAGCCTGCTCATGTGTCCTATAAACATTCTCTCTGAGAAGTAAGCCAGCCAACATGTACATTTATATTAATATAAATGTACATGTTGTACGAGAACAGAGGAAATTTATTTTATTTTGCAGCTTAAAGCAGGGAGAATATGAATTGATGTTTATTATCCAGTGTCATACACAGAGGTTAGGCTCCACACAGCCTCAAGACATCAAACTGAAATGTCTCTGACACTACACATGACAAAAGCCTCATAAACATGACATATTTATTTCAAAGTCACTGGTGACAGAAACACACCAAACTGATGTAGACCGAGTCATTGTCTCCAGTTCATTTCTTGGTCATGTCCAGTATAATTAAATTCAATAAAATATTATACTTTTTAAATCTGATAATCTGTGTATATCCTGAATTATTTTTCCATCCCACTCCAGAGTCCCAAGGCAAAGACGAAATAATAGAGGAGGGAAGAAAACAAGGAAGAAGTACGACTTCCGACTGGGGACGGAGGTGATCTCAGTGGGCTGCACCTGTGTCAGGCCTACCGTCATACCACAGTAGTAGCACACAAGAGACTTCTGAAGTTAGTAGTAATTGTTGTTTTTATTCTTTTCAATATATTTAAGTTATCACTGATTTGATTTACATATACTATGAAATGGCCTTTTTTTTTTTTTTTACTATTTTGATTTATTACTGCTAGCATGTTCCTGCCTTAGCAGCACTAGACACCAATAAATCATCAAGCCTCGAAAGCCACGTACACGCAAAGACGCAAATGACTGTAGTGGTGCCACTTGTAACAGTGTGACAGAGCTTTTAAAGAACTGCAAAGAGCTCAGTATCTTTCTGCCCCCTAGTGGTGGAAATTGCTTAATGCAGCTTTAACCCAGCAGTAAAAGTACATTGTCTGGCAAACACAGCCAGGTGCTTTGTATAGTAGCAACTCTATGTTATTTTTCATAAAGAAAGTGTTTCTGGAAATATATATTTATGGTAATATACATTTTTGTCTTTCTTTATTTCTCAATTGCTTTATGGCTGTTGTAACTCACATTTCTTTAATTAACATATTCTCATTTTATTGTAGACAATGTCAAAATCCAAATGAATATTCCTCCACTTGCCCAGTGGACACTTCGCTGTGTGTGTGTGTGTGTGTGTGTTCTCGTACACACACAGGTTCATGTGGGAAATTGAACAATGAATTTACTAAGTGAGAAATGATGAGAACAAGAGCAAAGTGGGAGTTCACTCAAGCTGTTTTTACTGACCATGCCAAATAAATGCAATCAATCCAGCCTTGAACAGCAACACACAATTACAGCAAGTACAAACTCCATATCATGACTCCCTGTCTACAGCACAAACAATTTAGACACTTCAGTTAAGTCACTATGACTCAACAGCTCAAGCAGCTCTTTCTGTTTACTCTTTTAGGTTTAGAAAATCAGAAACCAACAATCAGAGCACGGCGACACATGCCAAAGCACACAGAGACTGCAAACCCAGACTGTGACACCAAATTTGTCCCAATCCTGAACTAGTCACTCACTACGTTGCCTCCTTTGTGATGTTATTGTGGTTTTACTGTATAGAGTCACTGTCCTTCTTGTATGCATATGTGCTTTTGAGTTGTGCTTAAAGAAATAAGAGTGCAATCAGTGCTCTAAATCTAAGCCACACAAAGGCATGTCACTGATCTATGTACAACTACACCATAGTTAAAGTTTCACAAAAAGCCTGAACATGGCAGGACACAGCAGAGCTTCCTCACTTTTCAAGCTTTTTGCTCTTACTTCCATAGAGCGCTGTAGAAAGAAACCACAGCCAGAGTCTTCATTTTACATTCAGAGTGAGGCTCACCAAGTTTAGCACACAGATACAAACAGACCCAACAATCCCAAAAGTGGTGAAGCGAATAATTAGCATGAGAGCGGCGGACAAAAGGAAATCAGTTTTTATTTATAATTCAGAAACAGCAGAAGCGTGTTCCGTCCTTTTTATGTGCATTGACTGGTAAGCACTCTGAAGAAGCCTCTTGGCTTTGACTTGTATTGTTTTGTGACTGACACAAGCTCTATAACTGCATGTGTGGGTCCAGTTTTACTCAAACACATCATATTTTCATCTTTTCACTAGGTAGCAATTTACAATTTCCCTTCTTCATTGTTCCAGTTTAATTGTACAGAAACTGTTTGATTGGCTGTGTAACAAATTGGTAGGACCATTGCTGATACAAAGCATTAATCCCAGCAATTATACTTTCTTGCTTTCTGACAGAAGTACCTGCAGAAATGAGAGAGCTGTACTTTACAGTTTTACGTCCTACTTTCATATAGAAAAAACTGAATGATTTTTGAATTTCAACATCAAGAGCTGGTTAAACTTTGTACAGCTTGTTCAGGATTGTTACAACATACATCAAATATGAAAACTCCCTTTGTTCAAGTTGTTTTTGAGTTCTTTTTTCCCCCTTTCCTGCATTGTTTGATTTTGTTTTGTTTTGTTTTGTTTTTTTTACCAACTCAAAAAAACCACCAGTCCTGCTCTTTCTCTCTTGGTTCCATGGCTCCACTCATCTACCGACAGGCTTCCTCCTTCAGCTCCTTGTTCTTCCTCACTTCTTCTGCATGTTTGTCCTGCCAGACAAACACAGAGAACCCAGAAATGTCATTTAGTATTCATGAATGTATTAGTATTAATGAGGGGGAGACGCCAACAGAAGAGAGAAACGGCCCATCAGCTGTTCATAAAGATTTGAACAGGGGACAATAAAAAATTCTTCTCCATCTCTTAAAATATTCATGATTACTGAGCTAGTCTGTGAACAATGTTAAAATAAAATTGCAAGAATGATGCTGAATGGTTGCCTCATTTACACTCAAGGTTGTGTCTGTTAAGTATTAGCCTAGCACACATTGCTGGCTAATCTGCTGGTTTTAGGTGGAGTTACAAGTTACAATGATATCTTGATGAACAATAGTTGAGTGCCATGACATCCTGCAGGATTTGTATCCAGGATGTGGTTATAAAGAGCACTAGCAGTGGTGATGAATTTCTTCCACATCATCTGTAGTAGGTCTATACATATGGTAAGCCCTTGCTCTTCTGAGATGCTGATTTCAGAAACAGGCGTTGCAATTTTAGAGAACTGAACTTTTTCTATTCATCACGTTTGTCCAGTTATGCATGAGAGTAACAAATATGACACAGCAAAATGGACTCAGAAATGAAAGGTACATTTCCAGTAATGGGCAGTGGACCTTTAGTGTGTTTCTTCATATGTGAGAACACTGTAGACTTCTTTTTAAAAGTAATCGATACGCTCTTCGCGATGGTTAGAGACAATCATACAGTAGACTTTACCTTCTCCTGCAGCCTCTCCAACATGGCAGCCAGCAGGGCTTCCCTGTTCTCCTTGTTGGCCTCCATCTTCTGCTCCAGCTTCTCCTTTGCATTCTTGATGAAGTTGTTGTTCTCCTCAAAGGCCTTCTGGATCACCTCCCGCTCATGCTCCCTCTTCTCTGCTAGGTGCTTCAACAGCTCGGCCTCCTGGCACTAGAAAGGGAACAGGTTATTGTTGGAAACAGGTGAATTTTGCTCTTCAAACTGAAAATTATAATGACAGGGACAACTGTAAGCTTTACAAGAGACAGAAGGGGAGAGGACACACTCACTCAAAGATTCAATGGATTATGTTGAGGGCAAAGATTATGGTTATTATGTCTGTGGATTTGTTACAAGCTGAATCTCTTCTCCATTACTACTACTGGGTTGATGCCATTTGTATGATTTACAGTACCTGTGATCAGGAACTACTTGTGTATCTTTTTGTGTAATACAGAAAAATCTGTACCATTCTTTTGCAGGACAAACTCTGGCTCAGCTATCATTTCTCACTCAACTTTCCCTGCACCGTTCCTCCCTCTCTTTCCACCATCCTCTTGTGTGTGTGTGTGTGTCTGTGTGTATGTGTGTCCTTGCATGGTTGCCCTTGTGCACTCGTATCCCTTCTTTCATCTGTCCACTCTCCCTCTGCTCATGTCATCTCCCTTCCTTTCTACCCACTCCAACACTTCCTCCCTTTTTCCTTTAATCTATTTCTGCCCCTTTCTTCAGAACTGATAAACCACGCTGACCACAAGGCGTGGTCATGTGTTTGACAGTTCCTGAAAGAATTACAGATAATTTGAGTTAGGGTTACTGCTTATCCTGTTGTGTTTTTTGTGGGTGCAATGATACAACATCTCAGGTTCAGAGAAGCCAGCCCCACCTTTCGCCGCTCCTCGGCAGCCTCCAGTTTCTTCTGGATCTCTTCCAGGGATGGGTCACGGCGCTGCGGCATGGAGGTGTTGAGCTCTGGCACGCCATCAAAGGACGGTGGCTTGAGAATGACCTCGAAGGCCTGTCCTGATGCTCTCTTATTCAGCTCAATCACCTCCACATCTTTGATGACGCACCAACCCAGGTCCACAGCATCTGTGATGTTGTATTGCAGTCAGTGTCAGCTTTTAACACAGGCACACAACACTAATATGTCACTGTTGATGCAGCATGTTGTTTACGTTACTTCTACTTGTCTCTACTTCCAAGAATACTTTGTATCTGTTGGCTCTGACTGATTTGTCCTTTTTGATTATGAATATATGTGCAAAACAGTTTGTTTAACCTTCTGCCTTGTACGTAGTTTTGTCTGCAGTCTGTGGGTTGAAGCAGGTGCAGAACAGAGACACCAGGGGGAGCTCTTTGACCTTCTCTTTGTAGGCTGAGGGCAGACACACACATTATTATTATACACACACTTATTATGCTTGGCACTGTGTTGACTCAAATGGAATGATGAACAAGCATTTAAAGACTGATGTAGTTCTCCCGTTTACTGGCAGTGACTAATCATTCTTATTAAAACAGTCATAATAGAGAACTGTCGTTATTTTCCCAACCATTAGCTGTATGTAGTGTAAAGGAAAGGAGGGCGTTGTGGTGTGAATTTCTGCTGTGGCTGCGTTTACCTGCCAGAGTCATCTTCTCACTGGGTATATAACTCTTCAGGGATTCTGAAGATCCTTCTCACTCTGTAATGCAGAGACAGGGAGACACAGAAAGAAGCAGCTTCAAAGGCCACATAATGAATCTGAATAAGGAGAGAATTAACGAGACAGAAAACTGCAGAGGACTTGTATGAGAGTTATTCAACAAATGAGAGCAGCTCTGCATCAAAGGATAAATGTGGGCTAACACAGAGATGAATTCTTATCAAGGATAGTGTGGCAGTTTGAATACACCGGGTACATCCCTAGTCTCTTTTTTGATTGTTCCTCACTCCTTGATCTTTGCTTGACCAGGAAGTCATTCCAGTTGAAAACATCCCAAGACTCTTATACCTGCTCTGAGGAGCCAGAATTGAGGAGGCTGCCTGGAGGAGCAGTCTTTTATGGGCAGACACATGCTCTCGTGTCTGATGTAGATTTTCCACAAAAGCACAAAATTAATTAACTTCAACTCTTACAATTACAAATATTGTTTGTCCTATAAATAAGGTTCATTAAAAAAAAATTATATCACAAGTAGTAGTAGCCATGTTTCCAAATTTAGAGTGAAATTTAAACAAATTTTCAGAAATCTGTAAAATAATACCATAATGAATGCATGATTCCATGTGTTTGTGAATATTAGAAGTTGGTTCTTGAAGATAAACAGTTGGATGTACTAAGTCCCCAGTCAGGTGCTGTCTATCGCAGAAGAGTGTGCAGAAAGTTCAAATGAAACTGTTATGGAAATATGCATTTACTATAAGTTTGTTTAATGTATGTACATTGTGTCTATTTGGTAAGTGTGTTGCCCTTACTTAAAAGTGCATTGTCATTGTATGTGCAGTGAAAGCTTCCACATCACACCTGTGCAAGTTGCAGGACAATCATAGTCTAATGTGATGTCGTGAAGTCCTGCGCGTAAGGACACACCTTAAACTTCAACAAAGCTCTGCACGTATATCATTCTGCAGACTATAAGCTCCAAGTGATGTAACGATAACCAAACATATGTATTTTTGGAGGTGGGCACTTTTTGATTTTATTATCTGAAGTGGGTTGCAGAGAGGTGGACAGGAAAAGGGGGACACTTGTGACGAATGACAAACTCAAACTGCCAACATTGCACAAGCACTGTGCTAAGGTGTATGGTGTATCACACTGTAACCATTCGGCTACCAGGTGCCCCCAAACATGCATTTTTTAGTAGAGGGGCCTTTACACCTTTGTATTTTCCCAGCCTTATGTGTTGCAGTGAGTCACAGCTGTGACCCAAGTGGGAAAAGAAGCTGTAAATCTTTGAGAAATTGAATGAGAGGAAGAGGAAGGTATAAATAACAAAGTGAGACAACAAGCACAACAGAAACCAGATTCATCATCTGTTGGAACTGCACTTCAAACCTTTAACCAGTGCGGAAATATGTTATGATTACAAGATGTCTCTGTGATACACTGTTTAATTAACCACAAATTATAATCAGAGAGACACTGGAATACAACGATAAGTCCATAGTGAACTGCACTGAGACAGAAGGAGCAGCTTAACAAATGATCTCACTGACCTGTCCACCACCTGCTATCATTCTGTCTCTCTATCTGTCAGATGGTCCCACCAGCACTGAATGGATGGACATCTGAATGATGCTATAAATCTGCCACTATCACGCTACGTAGAATTTAAAGCCTTTAAATAAGTGAACAAGCCATCAAGCTTTGTCATAAGTCAACAGAGCCACAATGATTTCCACAACCTTTAAACTTCTATTTCAGTTCAATTAATAATTTGAATGAACAGAATGTCAGGTGCTATTGCTAATCATGATTGATTATGTCAACAAATACTTTAAAACTCTTTATTTCTTCTGAATGCTACTTGTCAGCTAAATGGATCATTTTCTTATGTGAGCTTCTTAGATGGTCCTTGACATGCACTGACCTTTTCACAGCTCAGTGCACACACTAATTACATTTGCTCTCATCATGTGAACACCTACCAGCTTCAGGATTACAGGTTTGAAGAAAAGAGCAAAGGAAGGCCTGAGCTAAACCAGATTTCCACTATTAAGTGGGACATGCCAGTGGTTCCTGATGTGGGGCTAATTTAATAAGACAGCTGTGATGGGATGTGTCTGCTGGAATAACCAAATGTCCTGCCTGCTCTCAGCCACATCCCCTTCATCTTTGGAGCACAGATTTCACAAATATATAGGTGATCATGGACCCAGAACATGGGGCAGTTAAATCAGAATATACTCTGGTGCACAGTATACTGTATGCTGATGATGCTGCCTATTTCAGAATGCACTAAACACAAAAAACAAACAACCCCCCTATTGCCAGCTAATTCAAAACAGGCAAACAGGTCTGGTGTGAGTGGAGCTTGCTAGCCAGCTAGTGGCTAACCACCCGCAAAAGCAGCCACGCCCTTAGTTATGCATAATGTTAAGCCTCAATATAATTTAAACAGGTGAGTTATATAAAAGCTCACCCCTCCATACAGTTGTCACGGAACGGGAAATTAGCTATAGAAACCAAAACTGTTTTTATACCAGGCTGTAAACATGTTTATTTTTGTTGTAAAGTTTGGCAGTTTAACATGGGAGTCTATGGGGATTTATTCCTTTTTGGAAGCAGCCTCAAGTGGCCATTCAAGGAGCCATAGGTTTTATTTGCTTTTGCTTCATTTCTCATCCTCACAGGCTGATGCAAGATCCATCCATAGTACTAAGATAAGCAAGTAACCTCCTACTTATGGGAAGAAATTGCTCACTAAATCTTAAATAGCTAGTGGCTACACTACCTGGAACACTATCAGACTGAACCCTGGAGAAAGGCAGGATAGGACAGGGTGGGCCATGGAAAGGTAGCCTGCCTCCGGCGATAATATGAACGCGCAAGTGGATTGTTTTGGAGGCGGGCTACTTTTCCGTGGCCCACCCTGTAGTTCCTCCATGCTTCCAGTCTTCATGCTAAGCTAGAATCACCTAGCCATGAGAGTGGTATCAGTCTTCACATGTAACGCTCAGACAGAAAACAAATAAATGTACCTGTATATCTGAAAATGTCAAATAATCACTTTAAATTGGGATTTTCAGTTAAAGTATCTACCTTTATATCTATCTGTCTGTCTGTCTGCATTTTAAACTTCCAGCCTGACAGTATATGAAATGCCTGAAGAGAAATGGGCTCTAGCGAGTGAGAGAAATGTACTAATGAGACAACCTGTGACACATAGATAGAGAGACATCTTATTAAAGTGTAGAGCACACATTCACCTGACCACCCTGCCAGGCTTCCTACAGGGACAGACACAGAAAGACTCATATGTGTACATTTATAGATACACATAACATAATGATAATATATAGTTGTGTACCCAAACATAGACACATCGGCCTACTAATCAGGCAGTAAATGTACAGTACTGTCGCACTGTTGGAATGCACACACACACATGTACAGCTGCTACTTTTCTTATGAAACCACCCAGGCTGCAGATCAATGCATTGCTTCCTGCAGGGGTAGGAGTGCTCCATTTCATCAATACACACAGAGAGCAGCTTGTAAAGGTCTCAGTATGCTCGAGGAACAACTGGGCCATGATGATGTGGGGCAGCAAAGAATTTATTATTATTCTGTTTTATTACGTGCATGGAGTTTTCTTTACCCCGGAGATCACTGAACTTTATATCGAATGAAGGTAACAGTTCTCCTTGAAGCTTTCTAAAATTAGGCTACTACGCAGTAATTGATAATAGACTTCAGAAAAGGCAATAATGCATGAGATTGCAAATTAAAGTCATAAAATAGCAAATGATTTATTCTTCTTACTGTATTGTGCATATAGTTTTACAGATCTATTTTGTCAGTGTCCAAATGTTGATTCTTAGAGCAAAACATTTGACATTTTGGCCAATACATTCATTTTCTTGTTGAGTTAGATGACAAGACTGATACAACTCTTAGGCTTGTATATTAAATATGTAGCTACTGGCTTAGCTTAGCATGAAGACCGGAAAATCCACATGCCGCCACCTTTGAAGCTCATTACCTCACATTTTATATCTCATTAGCCCAAAGTGTAAAAATAGCAGCAATTTTATTGGGGGCTGTGTACCACACTGGAATAACTTCTGGGTGGGGCTAATTGGTGAGCAGCCAGCAAAGACTTCAGGAATTTACTGGTCTTGGCCAAGACACAGATTATGTTTGAAATTACTTTCTGTTTACTATATAGTGCACTGCATGTATTGTCATTTAATCTGCACATTCAGATTCTGAGTCTATATCCACTGTATAATGCATAAGAGAACTGAAAAAGGAGTGTCCGTTGCATATGCAGCAGTGCATCTCTATGGCTGTTTTCACCAGAGCTTTCATACGTTTTGTATGAATAAGTGTAAACAAATTAGATAAAACTGGTTACGTTACTGTTATCACTGGCAAAAAAACCAACTACCTATTTATCAATTAGTGCTAAGCTAAGCCAGCCAAGTACTGAACTCTACTGACTGAAAAAACTATTTTTCAATCATTTCTATAAATCTCTCCAAACTGAGAAAACATGTGCTTTTTAAATGATCTGCATGGTCAGCAAAAGTCTCATAGAAGCACAAATATAACTTTAATATTATTCATACTTAAAGTATTTCATTTTCAGCAGTGCCATCAGTCATTTTGCTCAAGGGGATATCACATTTTTCCTAAAGTGGATGTCTTGTTTTCATTTTTCACATACAGCACAGAACACTGATTCCTAAATGTCCAAGAAGTAGAAGACAGTTTTTCAAATTTTCTCTGTTTCCATGGCTGCAGTTGTTTTTTCGTTTATTCAGGCTAAGTTCACTGAGAGGCCGCCTCTCTTTTTCATGAAAAACCTTGTTCACAGTCACACAGTTAGACATTCACATCTGGAAGCTGCTCAGTAGGGCCGGAGACTGAGCTGTGGCCACTGAGCAGCTGGAGTTAAGGGCCTCGCCCAAGGGCACCACAGTGCTGTTAATGAGGGTGGGGCAAGCGTTGCTTTGTCACCTGCCTGCTGGTCTGACTTGCAATCTTCTGGTCACCATGTGTTATTGCATTTTTATATTCTTGTATGAAAATTACACTGAACATTATGAATATTAACCTCAATTTTACATTAGTCCTGAAAACTAATGAAACACACACACACTTCTGATTATTTCCAGGACTACTGACTGTAATATTCTGATTTCATCATAGAAGAAATCAGTCTCAGCACACAACAAAAGTTCCCCCGCTCCTTTGCTTTTGTCTTCTTTTTCTACCCATTTGAGAAAGCATTATATACACACAGTACAAAATCTGGAATGTTGAACAGCAAAAGATGAAAATGGTATTAAATACAATAATAGGTTCAAAATTGTGAAACAAACAGGATCTTTTACAGCACATTTTTTTCCTTTGTGTTACAGCAGGTCTCTCTCTTACTCTCTTTCTTCCTCTGCCTTACGTACACACCTTTCTGCCACATAAACACGCACAAAACCCCTCTTTTCCCTCTCCCGGTTTCTTTTTCCCTCTCCTTCCTGAAACGAGACACAAAGCTGCGTCTGCACATATGAAGGATCAATAATAAATGACACATA